TCGGTGGCAGACTCAGTGGGCAGTGACCCCTCTGGACTGAACTTTGGGAAAGGAGCATGGTCAGAGACGGGCTCGGTTAGGGGGAGGGTTGAAGAGAAAGTGTCGGAGGTCACGCAAAGTAGCGAAGCACTGGAGCTGTGTGTGAGCAGCGCAGGATGCAGTGAGAATGGGAATGTGGAGGATAATGCAGATGTGTCAGGAGACCCTGATGACAGCTCGCAAGCACTTAATGGCCTGGTGTTAGAGCTGAAGGATGAGCTGAAGAAACAGAAGATTAGTTATGAATCCCGGATACGAAAGTAAGTGGGAATTTTACAGCAAGTGGAGTGTATAGGTGTCTAATTTCATAGGTGAAATCAAGCTTGCTTGAATGAATCAGCATAATTTTTTATTTTTCTACCAGGATGTAAACTTCAAACTGTCAATTCTGACAAAATGAGATTTATTTACAGGTTATGGAAATGGAACAATGCTGATATACTTGTAGGGACCACGAGGGGCAGCAGCCACCATATAATTTGTAATCTCATTTAATGGGGTCATGCAAGAGTCTTTAGCAGCAGCCGAATAAACCATAGAGAAGAGGTCAGTCAAGAGTTACAGTCTCTCTGAGGTATTTGATCCATCCAGCTTGTAGCTGGTATAGGATTGCCAGTTTCTCAGGGCAACTCATAGACACTAGTCATCTTTGGTAGATCAGGGTGTGCAGTAAAACAAAAGGTTCCTTGAAGATTGAGTGGCACCCGATTCCATTTGTTTGATCAGTTGGCCTCAGTCTTCAAACATCTGATCCTATGTGCTGCTGCTCTATTGGAATGAAAACCTGCAAATTTTATTTAATTATTTAATGATATTGTTAATTTGGTAATAGTAGTATTTTTATATGTGGGGAAATGAAAGGTTAAGTAATAAAATGTGGGCCAGTCTTTTAAACTATTTATGTTGGTAGTGAATGTGTATTTTGTATGTAATCTCTATATATAACACGTTATTGTTCTATAGATACAACAAACATCTATTCCATAAAAAGTAACAAAATTTCAAAAATGTTTTCAAAACCGTTATTGATGGCTTGTGAGCTGGTTTGAAGAATTGATGCACCCCAACCATTGCATGCATTCATTAAATTCACCCACCAGCACACCTAACAGCTTAATGAAGTACACTGGTTCAGCTGATCAGCACTAATGAAGTATTGATTAGCCCAATCAGGCACTGGATGGTGATATTGGAGAGAGGTTTGGAAATGATTACTGTAACACACTGACAAACATAAAATCCAGTTTATTGTATTAAGGTTTATTTGTATTTAGTCTAATATTGGTGTCTTTTATGAGCAAATAAACACTTATTACGTATTTAATTTGTTTTAAGTTTAATTTTCTCAGGCAGCCTAAGATCTCTGTACAGAGCTGTAATATGATACAGTCAAGACCTCCAGATGTTCTTGTTTGTGTCACTTCACCTTCATATCTATTTTTATCATCCTTACCTTGTAATGTAAGTTAAGGCAGAACGTATGGAAATCCTACATCTTGTGGACGTGTTCCAGTTATGTCGAACCATCTCTTATTTTTCCTTAACCCACGTGATGTTTTCAAGCAGTGTCAAGAACAGTTTTTAAAGCCTCTCCAGAGGTCTCTCCAGAGGTCTTTTGCAGAAAGTGACCACAGAAAATTGATATTTAGGACATCATGAGACCATGTTATGTCATACTATACATGGCACCATAGTGCTTGCTGCCTCTGACAGTATAATTTCTTAATACCTGCTGGTATTAATGTTCTTCTTGCCCTGTTTTACTAAGCTGGAAAAAACATAGGTGCTCATCAGAAATGCTATTCAGTCTGATTCTCATGCCAACATGCGAGAAAACATTTATGGAAGTGTTTTTTTTGTGTTAAATTGCTATTTTTTTGTTGTCAGCCATCATTTCTCACAGCAGGACCAGCAGCATCCTGCTTAATCTGATAACACAGTTACAGGAAAAAAAATCTTTTCCTGTCAATTTCCAGTGCGCTGGCAGAATGGCCCACTAGAGGGCCTGCAGAAAGAGCATAAGCTAAGGGCCTGCTATGTTTCATTGTACACACAGCTCCTCTGAATTTGACAATCCCATCCTGAAATGACAAAAACTTCATTCTAGGCGGAAGCTTTAAAACAACCTTATTGGGTATTAATGTTCATCTTATCGTGTTTCTCTAGGTTGGAAGAGACGAGTGCATCATTGCGTGAGCAGCTAGACAGGCTAGAGGAGGAGGTAGACCAGGAGAGGAAGAAGTACAAAATGTTGGAGATTAAACTGCGCAACTCTGAGCGGGCCCGTGAGGACGCAGAAAACAGGAACCTGCTCCTGCAGAGCGAGATGGAGGAGTTCTTCTCCACTTTAGGAGATCTAACACTGGGGACAAGGACAAGCAAAATGTGATACTTAACACAGAAAGGCTGTGTACTTACTGTGGATGGATTTTTAAATCTCTTTACTCATGTATCATGGGTACTATGAGGTAATTTTGTGCTGTTTTGTTACAGCAACTTGAGCTGTTATCCTGTGTAGCAAATCTATTTTCCTCCCTTAATCTTCTTCTCTGAAGTTTTAAGATATGTTTAAATTATTATTACCGTCACCAGATTCTCAATGGCCTCACTTCCAGTATGCACAGATGATACCAAAGCATGACTTCCCTGATTGTTTGCAGTTGATGTGATTACGGTTGCCTACTTGCAATGCTTTTCATAAGGCTGATTATTTCCATGACAGTGCCTTTTGCGTTGATGCATGGTATAGAGAAAATACTGCTTAACCACAAATGAGGCATTTAATGTTTTCTCACAATGTCAACTCTCAGCTCCACAGTTCATAGCTTCTTCACCAGTTTTTGTTGTTTAGAGTCTGTGACTTTAAACAGGCTGCAGCTGTCCAGTCTGACACTCTCCCACTCTTAAAGAAATGGATGATACAAACAGTTACAGGCTTAATTAATGACTGTTACATGCATATACTACACAAACCTCCTTTGGCAAACCCATTTATCTTCAAGTGAAAATGCAGTATGGTAAAAAAAGGCAATGGCAGTTTCAGGACAAGATTAGTGGGAACAACAACCAGTTAACTGCAGCTAATTATTTGTATAATTATGAATTTTTTAGGCCGCTGAGGTTGCTGGTTATAGGATTATTTATTGCAATTATTTTACTGTATAACTTATTTCTCAGGTGGTGTTTCTAAAAAAAAACAACAACAAAACACACTGAATAAACTTACTGTCTTTCTGGTAGATGGTGGAAATGAATATGAATGACGTTATATACTTGACCGTGAATTGTAGTAGACAGTCTATGACTATGTGATGAATTTGTGTATGCTTTAAAATGTTCTTGTGGTTATTTCCCCCTCATGAAAGTGCCAAAGTAGAGGTCTTATAAAATGGGTACTGCTTTCATATAATGGATCACTTGAAATGAAGTATAACTGCAAAAGGTAAAGTAATAAAGTTCTCATCATACAGTGTCTCAGAATTTCTCATGTTAATTTCATCTCAATCAGAATTCAATAATTAGTACTTTGATGATATTGTGATGTACGTATTTTGAAAAGTGTACACTGACATTCAAAAGTTTTTGCATTTCTCGTAATTTTAGCTCATATAATACATAAGAACAGCTTATACAAAGTATAAACTAAATAATATTTAATAATGTTGGAACAAATAGAAGTTAGACTTCAAATAGAAATTAAGTGATAATGTACTTTAACACTGCAATTATTCAGATTTGATCTCTCTTGAAATGCAAGGCATTCTAGATGTTAATTTATTCACTCAATTCACATTCAATTGTTATGGGATAATATCTATTGATATCTATTAATAATCTATTGTTCATTATCTACACCGATCATGACCACCTCCTTGTTTCTATGCTCATTGTCCATTTTATCAGCTCCACTTACTATATAGGTGCACTTTGTAGTTCTACAATTACAGACTGTAGTCCATCTGTTTCTCTGCATACTTTGGTAGCCCCCTTTTACCCTGTTCTTCAGTGGTCAGGACCCCCATGGACCCTCACAGAGCCGGTACTATTTGGGTGGTGGATCTTTCTCAGCACTGCAGTAACACTGACGTGGTGGTGGTGTGTTAGTGTGTGTTGTGCTGGTTTGAGTGGATCAGACACAGCAGTGCTGCTGGAGTTTTTAAACACCTCAGTGTCACTGCTGGACTGAGAACAGTCCACCAACCAAAAATATCCAGCCAACAGCGTCCTGTGGGCAGCGTCCTGTGACCACTGATGAAGGACTAGAGAATGACCAACACAAACTGTGCAGCAGCAGATGAGCTATCATCTCTGACTTTACAAGGTGGACTGACAAGGTAGGAGTATCTAATAGAGTGGACAGGAGTGGACACAGGGTTTAAAAACTCCAGCAGCACTGCTCTGATCCACTCATTCCAGCGCAACACACATTAACACACCACTACCACGTCAGTGTTACTGCAGTGCTGAGAATGATCCACCACCCAAATGGTACCTGCTCTGTGAGGGTCCATGGGGGTCCTGACCACTGAAGAACAGGGTAAAAGGGGGCTACCAAAGTATGCAGAGAAACAGATGGACTACAGTCTGTAATTGTAGAACTACAAAGTGCACCTATATAGCAAGTGGAGCTGATAAAATGGACAATGAGCGTAGAAACAAGGAGGTGGTCATAATGTTATGCCTGATCAAGTTCATCATTCTGGACATATCTAAAAGTTCTTTTTTTTCTTGCTAATTATTTGAGACCTGGGAAATTGTATAAGACTGGCATATTAGATTTATATATTTATCTACAATAGAATTGATAACATTGAATGCCAGTGTACTTTTTTTGTTCAAAAATTAAAAGAATATCAAATGAAGCTATAACTGGAAATATAAACACATGATGACACTCACATCATGTGCAACTGAAACAAACAAATTCGGGTTGCAAAAGTGAAATTACAACAAGCACAAACCAAATTTGACCTTTTTTATTTTCAGTGGTTACAACACTGTTGAATTGCAGCACTGTGATGGTATGGTGCTCTGTGCTGACCTTCACATACAACTGCATCAGTGGAGCATTATAAAGCCAGCATCTTCACATGATCTTCGCTATTCGTGTAGCACGTTTCTAAGAATATTTTCAGGGCTGGTGCCACTGCTGATGGACTGTTACATGGTCAGCTAAAGGAGCTACATGTAAGATTTGTATGTTTTATTATGTTTAATGATGACTTCAGGAGCTTTAGTCATCATATGAACATCATTAGTCAGTGTTAGTCACAGGTGCTCCTATTCAGTCTGACTCTCATGCCAGAATTGTCAGAATGTGAGACAATGTGGTTGTGTTTCCATTTTGAACATCACAAGCATACAAATAAATAGGAAAGTGAGATGAAGTGGGCTGAGCCATCAGCTTGCTTGAGGTTTAGACTGGATTATCAGGAAAGTAAGCAAAAGGCCTGGTGTATGTTTTGTCTTACACAGCTCCTTTAAGCTTTAACAATCTCAGACTGAAATGACAAGAATCGCATTAATTCCAGGCAGTAGCTTTAAAACAATATTGCATACAAACAAACAAAAAGTAACCACCTGGCCAATTAAAACTGAAGTACGTACACACAAAACATACAGACATACCATACACACATTCTTACAATTCATTCATGTCAGCATATACACATGAAACTAAAACACAAGCATCATTGTAACAACAACAACGCTTTTTCAAATAAATAACAAACCAACAACTATCACTGGGATGCTGCTCCTAAACTGTGGACTATAATGTGCATCAAACAAGGAGTTAAGCGTGAGGTAGTTTGAATTCTATCGAAGCTGTTCTGTTCTCTTCACTGTGTAATGTATAACAAGGGTAACAGCTTTTTAGCATACTCAAATTGAATCTAGTTGCAATGACAGCAGCTAAGAATTCCCAAAGGGTCAATTAGAATCATAATTACTGTCAATGTTAAGAGCACTTCAAATCAGAAACAACAAAATTAAAATCTGCTTGAGGGATTTTCTCACTATTTTGCCAAAAACAGGGCAAACCTTAGGTGACATTCATAACCAATCATCCTTACTTCAACATCCAACTTACAATCCCACACTTAAAAACACTGCTCTGAGAAAAAAAAAAAACACCATCTTTGGGGGGAAAAAAAATTCTAGCCCAAACATTCACCAATTAATGTACTGTAAATCAGACCTATGGACTTAATACCTCACATTTATTTACAGTACCTGCCATTACAAACTTTCTTACCTGATAAAAATATAAATAAAAACACCTTTAAAAGATATGGAAATAAATTCTTATCAATTTTGTTTCATTTCACAAAAATAAACAATTAGCTGTTGTGAACCAGTGTAGAAACAATTAGCACTTCTCATACAAAAAACGCGAATGCATTTGTTCTTGATTCGAAAAGAGGCCACTCGCCGTTCAGGATTTGATTACTCAAAGTTTCACTGAACTACTTTTCATACCATACAAAGTGTGCTGAATCTGACACATAAATGGACTATGGTGAAATTAACTAGTGTTGCAAAAGTATGTAACTCTTCTAAAACTAAAGACTTTAAAATAAAGCTGAAATACATTAGGAACCTAATGGATGTGACGCTAGAATGTACAATATGTGAGAGATATTTTTGTCACAGTCAATCACCCAAAATATTTAACAGCAGTATAAACCAAATAAACATATGCTGCCTAATAAAATTACCAGTATATATATATAAACATTTATGATGTTGTGCATGATTATTTGCTGTAACAAAACTGTACACATCAAAAATAAAAGTGTTTTGGGCAAGAATCATGGAAAACACCAACCAGAAGAAGCCATCTGGGACAGGGTTTTGCAGGAAAAACAATTAAATAGTTATACTACATTGATATCAATTTATACACTATTTTATATATTTTACATCAGTATCTGAAGCTTGTTTCTAGGTACATTCACTCAAAAACAAAAAGAAACAAAAACTAAAAACACAGACTCAAAAAATTGAAAAAAATATATTCACAATTTAGTCTTTACAAGTCATCCTTCTACAACATTACGGCAAAATGCTTTATCTGAGCTTATAAAAGAAGAACCGAGTGAGCATACCAAAAATACTCACATTTAGTAGCCAGGGGTTGGTGGAGCTTCTCATCGAAAAAATCGATTAAAAAAAAAATCTTATTTGCGGCATTTTGAGGGGAAGCAAAGAATATCACACCTGGCATTAAAAAAGCAATCTGATTGGCCTAAATCTGATACCATGCCACACACAAAGAGGCTCCAGGGGAGGGCGATAGTCATCTGCAGCAGCTCAGTGGTCCAGCGGAGGCCTCTAGGCTGCTGTCTGTGTCCGAGGCCATGGTGGGCTCTGTAGACATTGAGGACACATCGTTGATGGAGGAGGAGGATGAGGGCTGGGGGGATCCATTCACTACTGCTGCACCTGTGCTATGAGAAACACATAGATCAGTCATAATCACACAAAAAGTACTGCCTGTTTACCATTCACACTGTATGATAAGTAGATATAATGGAAGCTAATCACTAGGGATGTGCACAACAATATTAATCTTGCTATTTGTATCTGTAAGAGTTCATGAACTACAGGGAGCTATTAACTACAGGGCAGGAAAAAAAAAATTATATACATATACATATATATATATATATATATATATATATATATCTCAAAAATATTTTCTCACTGCAGTTAAACATTCCTCCAGTTTCTGGTGCACATGCTTGTGTTTGACAAAGTAATATAGAGATGTAATGATATTATAAATTGAAATATTGAATGTATGTCAAAAAGCTTTACTGAGTCAAGGCGTAACATTGTTATAAATCATTAATAATAGACAAACATTATATGCAACTTGTGTTACAGTATTAAATAATTAAAAAATAAACAAGCATTTCCCTGAATTGGTGATATTTTTCCCTGACTTCCTGTGATAACAGGACTATATATTAAGTTTTAACATCCTTTACAATTAAATTACCTGTTAAATTACCTGTTTACAATTAAATGATTCGAATTAAATTACCTGTTTTTTTTATTTTTCTATGTGAAAATAAACCAACACATCTTTTAGAACACACTTAGGGAACACACTTAAATATGCCATTTTCTGCTAATTCTAGTGCATAATTTCTACATATTTGCTAAATTTAACATAAAAGCATAAAATATAAAATGTCCACATTTTTCGCCCACATTTTTCCATACGACTCTAAGTGTGGTCAAATGCATTCTATCACTGTAACAGTACTTACCTTTATTGACTTTAGACCTTATTTATAGGAGAAATCAGTTTAACTAACCTAGAGGAGGTGGCTGGCCTCGTATCACACCATTCTTCATCCTTTCCTCCCAGTCCAGCACTTCCTTATAAATCAGTTCTGATGAATAAAGAAAGAGATAGAGGGAAGGGAGGGAGCAGGAGAGGGAGAGAGGGAGAGCATGACAGAGAGAAAGTGCAAGAGAGAGAGATGTCATGGAAGTAGGCAAGGTGCCAGTTGCCATAGCGTACGTTCCCCATGCGAGTCGAAAGAAATATCTATCTTTCTAAATTAAGTAACAAGCATAAGCCATTAAAACATGCCTGAGGGGGTCATTAACACTTTTCAGGTGACCTCATCAGACAAGCTTCTGACTACGTGTGCAAAGGGGAAAATGATATTCATACTGAACTTTTGGCTCTTTGAACTGCATCAGATTTCACACAGTAACATTGATGGTAAAAAGGAATAGAGGCTGCTACCACCTTTCCACTCCTCCACTGTATGTTCCCTCTCATCCAGCTGCTTGTCTGTGATCACTGGAGGAGGCTGGAAAGGGATGACATAGGAAAGGTACTTAAGACTTTTTTGGTGACAGATACGAATAATACATTTAAATTCTCAAACATGCAGGCAAAACACAATTTATTAACATTAATTTATTGTCATTCTCCTAATATGGTCCGTTGATGTAGCACTGTAATATAACTGATAATAAAAAACCCAGATTATAACTGATAATACAGTTACAGTGAGTTGATAGTTAAGTATTTTGAATCATAGTAACTTATTGACATTTAGTGATCTCAAACCAAAACATTACAGAGTCATGGCAGAAACTCATACTGTATGGTAAGAGATAAGGACATCTGTATACAGTACTGTGCAAAAGTCAGCAACCATCAGTCAGCAACCATTATTTAATTTCCAGTCAAAATGGTCAATAAGTACAAATTATATATTTTTCAGGAGATATTTTTGGAGAAGATTAGATAGAAGATATCCAAGTCAAATGAAAACTAGTGAAAAAACAGGAGTTTCCAAAACTGTGAAATGGGACTCCTAACAACCATGTAAGACCCGGCAGACCACCAAAACTACCACCATCACATAAACAGTACTTAAAGCTTTCATCTTTAAGAGACAGCAGAAAATCAAGTTCCACTCTTGCTTCAGATCTGAAAAAAATCCACAGGTGTTTCTGTCCATCCTTCCACTGTGAGAAGACAACTCAACACTGTGGGTCTGAAATGATCTGTAGCTATCATAGCTGTTACTGAGAAACAAAATGCACTAGAACGCCAAAACTGGACATCTGAGATGTGAAGTAAGGTTTTATGGATTAATGAGTATAAATTTATAACTGAGATTATTTGGATCATGAGAAGAAAATACAACCAACTTCCAAGACTGAACTTTGGAGGTGTTTAAAAGAACTACTGAAACATACTTCTGTAGATTTCTTTGAAAAACTGAAAGCAAATCTGTATTTTCTGCTTTATCTGTCTGATTCTAAAAAATGAATAATTTGTACCTGGTTGCCATTTTGACTGGAAATTAAATAAACTGACTTTTGCACAGTAGTATGGAATCACTGCACTGTACAGGATAATGAATGTTCAATAGCTGGGAATTTCACACAACGGCATGGGATCACATTTAGCTTCATGGTAACACTCCACTAGAGAGCAACAGCTTAATAATATTGTGTGTGTGTGTGTGTGTGTGTATATACACTTACCGCCTCTACCTCAGCTGGGTCATACCACACATTAATGTAAGGGTGCTGTAGAGCTTCCTCTACAGAGATGCGTTTGGAAGCATCTATTACCAGCATTTTGGAAAGCAGGTCTCGAGCTTGGCTCGCTAAAACACATTAACATACAATCAGTCAGTTGATTGGCTAATATACATTTTGGATGGACCTGGAATGGCTGAAAGATTTATTTCTGAATTATTGTCTGAAATGTATGTCTAGTACACTCAGAGATACACTGTATACTTCATGGTAATCTCAAATATATAGATGCAAAAATGAATCCTAAAAATCATTTTTACACAATTTTCCCTTTTCCCTAAAAGCAGTTGATCAGCCAAGACATGTTGGTTTTGCACAGGAATTGAGAGGCTAATAAAGCTATCAAGTAACATAAGTCTATGTCACCTTAAATCTGGTATATTTGCCTTGTAGCTCCACTGCAAAAGTAAAAAGGCAAACATGTTAGCCGTTCGACTGTTTGGGATGACGGGAAAATTGTGTAAATTTGATTTTTCTGTGACCCATCCCTTTATTAACAACATAGATAATGTACTTTTAACATATTCACAATGGGCGTGAAGAACACTTCGTATTTGGGCAGTAATGACACAGGTTTCAGCCACTTTGTACCTTTCAGTTTGCTGTGTTCAGAATCAGCAGGGAAGAGAACATCAGGGAAGAGCTTGTCAAAGCTGTATCCAGCATAGCGGGGCCGGTTCTCCACATAAGTCCTTACAGACTGGTTGAGTTTCATCAGGAACTCTTGGGACGGGGTTCCCAGCTGTTCGATGACTTTATTCCACTGATCAATATCTTGGGATTGCATGATTAAGAAAAGCACTGCATTGCTCACAGGCAAGAAATGAAATGTAGAAAGGGGGATTAAAAAGCATGGATCAAAGACATATACAGGCATCTACACAGAGAAATGATGTAAAGGACTGTGCAGGGCACAGTGAGTGTGACTGACAATAATTAAAAAAAAATTCGACCTGCTCTGCCATTACATGAATCCAAGCTTAATAATGCAGTCGAAAGACTCAGAATTCATACCTGATGCGTCAGCGACACAAAAGCGCAGCGTACGCAAGCAAACAATGCATCCAATCCACACTGCTTCCCACTCATTTCTGTTCTGTTCGTGATGCGTATTCTGACTGACGTAAGACCTGCATCTAGCAGAGAGAGTGTGGATTGAAACGCTGAGAGATAAAAAAAAGGAAATGTCTGTTCCGTCAGACGGATGACTAAAAATTGCTTCGGAAATGCTTTCGAGGTACACTGGCCTACAGTCACTGTGGTTTATGATAAAATCTGATGCTGTAGAGTTTCTGCGCTAATCATATCAGGCCCTGGTTTGTATCAGCATCCAGATCCACGTTTCTCTAAAATGCTAAATCTCTAGGTCACCTACAGTGTTGTGTAAAACAGGGAACGGAACAAGATGAATGAGGAAGAACAGACAGGTAAGGATACGATCAGTACCTGGAAACAACACACTACCTCTGACCATTTCGGCCATGATGCAGCCAACAGACCAGACATCAACTGAAAAAATGAAATGAAAATGAAATTAGCATGCAACACAAACATAACGAAGAACAGACAGACCTAAAACAAATGGAGAGGGAATGAGGGGGGAAAGCATGAGGGTGAAATGAACAAGCATGCAAGTGTTGCTGACGCCTCAACGTAGGCAGCCTTTTGTTTTTTGAATGACAAGGAATGGAAACAGTAACTGAACAAAAGAACACATAAAAACCTTACATAACCCACTTGCACATCCTGCCTGAATGAAAATACTAAAATAATATTTAAATAAATAAATAACAAACATTGACTCATAGCTAGTTGGACAGCTTGACTGTGTTTAAAAAAAACACTTTTATATCACTTACTCGCACTTACTTTGGCACACTTAGAATAGTGGCATAATGAGTAAACTCATATTTATGTAGTTTAAGTGTATTTGAACCAATGGTTAATTTTCCCTGATGAAACTCCTCTGTGACCTCGCTAGGTAAACATGTGAGAGGAAAAAAAGCCAGCAAAAACAGGTCTTGAATTCATCTACACCTCATCAACACTCTCTACAGAAGGGACAAGTTGGTCTACTTGACCCCCATGGAAAATGACAGATGGGAAAGAGCAGCACACGTAACAAAGTACAGCAATGGTGTCAGTGTTGTCAGCATATCATCTACTCCGCCATGTATACACCCTTATAAAAAGAAACAGAATAAATTAACTCTAGAATCTCTGCAGGTATTCTTGCTGAAATAGCAAGTAATATACAGCTCTCTTCCCTGCATGTCAGGAGAACACTATGATCATATCATTTTACAAGAAAAGCAGGGCAAAAGAGGCATATGGGTAACATGGTCCCTGCATCTTCCTCTGTCTCTAAAAATACTCCAGCATAATGCGATAAACCACCATGAGCAGCACAAGGATACAGTCCCTTCCAGGGAAAAGGATTTTGTGGCGAACCATTTCTGCCAAAATACAGCCCACAGACCAAATGTCCACTAATTGTTTGTAGCAGGAGGAAAGAGAGAAGAAGGTTAAGCAGCAAATCAGCAAGAAGCAATGCTTGTTAGTTGTTATGTAGATCATCACTCATCATTCATACATGATATTTTGATTTCATGGAATCACTGAGCCATGCAGCTCAAGCAAAATCTGCACTGAAACTGTACATCATACCAAACCCATAAAGCTGTTAGGCCAATGAAAGCAAAGGAGTGGACTATCAAAGCACGAAATGAGACGTGCAAGATGAAGATGATGTTTGCAGTTGAGCATGTGTGAGAAGTGCCAACTAGGCATTCTGTAGCTTGTCAGCAGCACTGACCATTGGCTTGATATCCCATTCCCAGGATGACTTCAGGGGCTCTGTAGTAGCGTGTCACCACATATGGTGTCATCAGTAAACCGGTCGCTGCCGTCCTGGCCAAGCCAAAGTCCAGGATCTTTAGGGTACAGTCCGACTTGACTACAATGTTACTGGGTTTCAGGTCCTGCAGGGGTAAAGTAGGACACATTGTATTTCAGGAACACAATACAAAGATACTGCATGAACGCTCAAAGTAAATTCATAAAGGAATAATGGAAATGACCGTTGTACTAATAGGTTACACATTGGACAGCATTTCTGTGTGCACTTGGACTTTTGTGTTTCCCAACTCGGCCCTCGGGGACCCCCAGACAGTCTACCTTTTTCATTCCATTTTCCATCCCTATGCATTGTGAGCTGGGTTGGAGCAAAAATGTGTACCACCTTGGGGGGTCTTGAGGACCAGTATGGGAAAAACTGGATTAGAGAGAGGGAGTTGTTAAAGGGCCCATGTCCTACATGTTTCTTGCATTTTGATTTTGTTTCCCTGAGGTTTTAACATTTGTGTGGTTTTATACAGTCAAAATTCCTTCATTCATTTTGACCATTTTCCTATTTTTATCCTCTAAAATTAAACAGGCTGTTTTGTAACTGTGCCTTTAAGATTGATACATGTAAATGATGCAAAACTGCAAGACTGGCTGTTTTTTCCAGCTTATTTTCCATATATGGACTGTGTGGACTGGGGAGTAAACGGTATACTCCGAAATGTTAGCAATGTTTACATAGTACATCAAACTATTTTATGTCAGAAAAATAAAAATAATTTGCCCCAGATTATCTAATATCAGGGCAATTAAAAAAAAACACTTTGTTCATATTAGTACTGTATTCAGTGCAAAAAGATGTGTTTGTAAGTCTGTTCGGTATTTTTATTTCATACAAAGCATTAAAAATATTCTATGTTGTGCCTGGCCTGTTATGCTTAAAGGGGATGTTTTTGAGTTTTTGCTGTTTACACTGAAATGGGTATGAAGATAGACTTGTTATTTTATGTCTGCCAGTATCTGTTTATATAATATACTATTCATTCCTTTGTACTCTGATCTCCTTTAACTAATTAATAACTGTTCTCTATGAATCCATCTGAGGCTTTCTTTTCTATTCTTAATATCTAATTAACCATAGCCAGGCTTGAAAGTCCTCTTGTTGTAAATCAATCTATTTAGTCATCAGCCTGTAAAAAGGCTGTCATTAATAAAGACAAGAGGATGACCTTGCCAGGACACATAGATCTTCCTCACACAATTCTTTTACCTATTAGAGAAATGTACTCCACTGTGCTAAAAAAAAATCGATACTGCCTCCTGATGGTGTGTGATAGATGAGAGAACTGTTTACTCTGGACTGATGACTTCCCTCCTTGATCCTCTCAGCACGTTCCTGCCTCACCAGCGCAATGCAGTCAGCAGCAGCAGCAGCAGCAGACAGGACGAGCTGGAGCTTTTTGTACTCAGCTCTGGGGATGGAGCCCCTCCCCCTCCCTCACCTTAACTGATTATTAAGCTTTTTGCCCTCAGTGCAACACCAGCTCCGTATGACAGAGTTTCCTCTAAGGCAAGCGAGCACAGACCCTGTGGATGATCCCTGCAGCGTGGAGGTGTTTAATTCCACACAGCATCTGGTACAGCAGATAGGACAACCGCTCATGGTCCAGCTCCATCTGAATGACTTGGCAGAGGTTGGCATCCATCAGCTCCATTACTAGGTAACTGTCGTCGGGTTGGTGGGGAGGGAGAGGGAGTGGCAAAAGAGGGCGTAAAAGGGGGGAGGGGGCGCAAGAGAGTAGAGAGAGGGGCGGGGGAGTGTGTGCATGTGTGGGAGAGAGAGAGAGAGAGACAGAGAGAGAGGGAGGGAGGGAGAGAGAGAGAGATGGGGGCAATTGAGCAACGGTCCTTCAGTGTACGAATTAAGAATAAGCAATTTTAGCTTCCGCTGAATATAGTATTAAGTGACTGTTGAACGATGTTAGTATTTTGCGTTATACTCACACATCTTGGAATTCGTCTAACGTTTTTTGTGGTGTGAAAACATTTAAGAGGCCAATAATCTGAAAACGTAAAGGATAAAATACTCTCACTTTAACATCAAATATGTAACAAGTAAATAACTGCATCATTATCCGTCTGATATTTCGGAAGGACTTACATTTTTATGGTTGACACACTTCATCAGCACCAGCTCTCTGTATGCTCGCTTGGCATGTGTCTGATTCTGAAAAGGCCGGCTAAGTTTCTTAATAGCCACATTTCTTTCAAGGTGGTGGTCATATGCTGAACTACAAGGGAATGAGGACAAATAGGTCAAATATGAATCCGTGTTGCACTGCAATTTAACTGCTGATGTTAGATTTCTAAGCATAATCACATACCAGACTATTCCCTGTGCTCCTGAGCCCACCGGTCTTAGATTCTGATAGCGCTTCAAAACAGTAAACGTTGAATCCCCCACATCTATACTGTAGAACTCTTTCTCCCTTTTGTTTTTATTCATGGTGAAGTCCAGGCAAATTGATGTCTTAGCATTCATCCAGTGCAGATAACTATGGACCTAGACCACAAACAATGAAACAGGGGGAAACATTATGAATCTACCGTAGCATATTAGAAAAAGAAGTGTTAAACTTAAAATATTATAGATACATCTCTAAATTAAATGACATCGGGATGAACAGCAGCCTGTTGAGGAAAGCAATATCTTTGGCAAGACCCAGCATGAAAGAAAGCAACATTTCCACTTTCCAAAGAACACCTTTTCCAAAACTTTACCAGAAAGACACCTGCAAAATGTTCCACTTCCTCGCTGTGTAGTAAACAAATACTACAGCATTTTGAATACAGCTAAAACAAGCTTAAGTTGTACTGATTTTTTAAAAGGCTGATGATCAACATGTGAACAATCACCATTTAAGACCAATGACAATGCACTAGAAGACATTCTGTTAGCATTTGGAATTGAAAATCAGACTGTGACTGATGATCTGTGCTATCTACTGCTGGACATCTCTGCTACTATGAAAAACAATTTAAATCAGAGTTAATGAACACACAGATTAGTTATACAAGAGGGTGAACACAGAAATCAATGCAGATCTTAATATTCGCAAGCCGACCAAAACAATGCTAAAAGCCATCCTAAAATGCCATTATTAGGAATGAACGACAGAACATAAATCAAATCTAAGGCTTCTGTGCTTGAACAACCTGGTCACATCTACCATTCAAAACATACAGAGCATACACAGCTCAAATCCACGTCTCAGCTATGACAGTGCTGAGGACACCCTTTTAAAAAACAAATCTAGGAACCAATACAACATTTAAGCAGCATTCACCACTGTCAGTGCCTTATTTCAGAAGGATGCCAACAAAAACATTAGGCTAGTGTTTAGTAACAACACAGCTATAGATTTACTCCTGATCCAGCAGGTGCAAAACAGCTTGGTGCCTCTTCAGTGCTATAGCTGAGCAGTCCAACAAATCAATATTAGCTGCTGTGATTGTTGGGGCATGTATGCGTAGTACTGTGCTGGAGATCAACAACCTTGACTAGAGTGTCCCGTTTAATCTCTCCTGTCAAGACTTGGATGGGGACGTAACCTATTTCGTGCTCATGTGCTGCACAGACTATATGCCACCTCTAAACTACCCAATACTGAAATACTGAATGACTAGTGACCGTGGCATCGCTACCATTCGGATATAGAGCCTGAGCACACCGTAAGACCGTAAGCTAGCGAGGGACAGCTGGATGGAAGGAACCATGAGCGGCTTGTCAATTAGCCTAGCTAGCCTGCAAACAAGGTATTGTATCTAAAGCCGCACTGAGACCGGACCTTTTGTGAATGCAGCGTTTTGTGTTAAAACAACATGTATCTCCGTTATCCAGAAGCTGAATGGCTGTTAGCTACATGATACACTCATCGGAAACAAAATCAGCTGTGTTGTAGTCTACGCTTGCCTGCACCCTCCCCCCACGGCTAAACAATACCACATTTGAACGACTTAAAGCGCTTCCTTACCTACTGTGATCTGAATTTCCACCTCTGTGTCCAGACCCTTTAGAAACGTGCGGGTGAAGCGTTCAGAGATTAATAACGTGTATTTTGTTGTTCGGCTGAAAACACCATGACCTCACCGCATACACACACTCACACACACGCACGCACACACACACACATACAGCGCTTCCTTCCACTGACAGGCCTCGCACGCGCCGCAGGCGACATGACGTTCTACGTCACATAAGCCGCACGTTTCCGCGGCATCATACGCGTCATACGCTGAGTCAGAGCCAATCACACAGAAACTCTATCTATCTATCTATCTATCTGGCTGTCTGTCTGTGTATATGTCTGTCTGTCTATCTATTTTACGTATATATATATATATATATATATATATATATATATATATATATATATATATATACTACATGGGCAAAATTATTGGGACACACCTCCTAATTACTGAGTTGAGTTCAGGTGTTTCAGCCAGATAAAATTAAGCACATAGCCTTGCAGTCTCGGTGGCAGTAGAAGTAGATGGGTCGTACTGATGAACTTTGACTTTGAACGTGGCATTGTCACAGGATTGACCTCAATCCCATCGAACACCTTTGGGATGAACTATCATATAGGTGCACTTTGTATTCTACAATTACAGAATATGGTCTGTCTACATCTGATTTGTTATCCCACTTTTTCCCATTCAATAATGGTCAGGACCCCTTCAGGACCACCACAAAGCAGGTTTTATTTGGGTGGTGGATCATTCTCAGCACTGACGTGGTGGTGGAGCGTGGTGGAGACACACATGACAACACAGGATGCTGCCCACAGGTCTCCAGCAGCACTGCTGTGTCTGATCCACTCATACCAGTGCAACACATACTAACACACCACCATGTCAGTGTCATTGCAGTGCTGAGAATGATCCACCACCCAAATAATACCTGCTCTGTGGTGGTCCTGACCATAGAAGAACAGGGTAAAAGGGGGCTAACATTAGGCTTGCAATTAGTTTTCAAACTAGAATCAGCTGAGCCAGAGTCTTTTATTTTTAGTCTAGTATTTTTAGTGGCATAGCCAGGTCTACACCAAATCTAAGAAGATGTGTTTAATTTAATTGAAGTGTCAATGAATTTGTATGATGGCAGGTAATACAAAACCCTATATGATGCTTCATGATAAAATAACAAATAAATAATTCATGAAATATTTATGAAATAGTTTCAATTTTCCAATCTATGACTCCCTTTCTCCCTTCCAAATAAATGACACACAGTGCCATTTATGCAAAGCACCCAAAGTTATTTTAGTCTTAATAGCGCCCCTTTGTGGAGAACCTTCAGCTTCATCCTGCAGCGATCATGTGTGTCTGCTAGCTAAATAACTGAAAAATACCCTGTTTAATATATATAGTTTTTTTGTTGTCACACCCCCAGTTTGGAAAGTCGGGGCTCATCTAAAAATCTGTGTTTCCGATTAGTAACTCCAACGTGTTCTTATCTCCTAAATAGGACATTTCCGACACGACTTGAAGGCAGTGTAAGAGTTGAGTGTGAGAGTGGGGAAAAAACAAGTCCAGACTACAAACAATACGGGAAAAGAATGCGAGATAATGGCTCAGAACAGTTCAGGCTATAAAGCCATTCTTTTGTAAGAAAGCTGGGTTTATCAAGCCGTTTTGACAGACGAGTCACAGATAAGCAAATCAGCTAAAACATTAATCCCAGCTAGATATGCAGGCAGATTGAGCTAATGTTAGCTAGCTAGCTAACTAAAATTCCCCTCGAAAGTACTTTTTTCATTTGTCATCAAAATGCCTTCTTCTATGCTCTGTTGCAATTACTTGAAAATCTGTCTTTGTTGAATAACGCAGTTCTTCACCCGAAGTTTAATTCATCGTAATGTTGAATTTTCAATTAGTTAGCTAGCTAGCTAGTTTGTTAGTTAGGTAGCTAGCGTTAGGTAGACACCCAGGACACCCAGGAGCAGTTAATGTTATATCAGTTAGCCCATGCCTGCTTTGTAGCTTGTTGTAAAATAATGTAACGTGAAGTAAATAAATAGACAAGTTTTTAATGCAACCAATAATAGCAATTTACTATGTACAGTGGCACCCTGGCAAGCACCAGAAGATGGTACAAGACGACACAGATTAAAAAGACATGCAAATATTAACAAAGAAAACATAGCAACACAATGAAACGTTTGTTTACTACAAAGTTATTGGCTACTTCAGAAAACAGTATTTAAAATAATATTCGTTTTATTTATTAAAATATGTATTATTAGCTAAATTACTGATTAACGCTAATACCAACAGTGACTGCTAGTTTAAAAGGACTGTTATTTACTATTATATATTTCTTTGCTATGAGTCTGCTAACTTCCTAGTATATACTGGAGCCCAGAACCTCTCTCTCTCTGTTTATCTCTCTCTGTAAAAAATAGAATGAAATAATATGAGAGGTCTCCCAAATCACACATTTCTCATACGCCCGGTAAATCTACAGTATGTCACCGAAGCAGGGGAAGACTAATGGCAGTTATCAGAAGATCAGAAATCCCTGCACGCCTCCTGGTGACTTCTTCCTTTCACCTGGAACCTTCAAACCACTCGCTGTAATCCAATTGAGTTCTTAACTCTCGAAGCTAAATATAGAGGCAATTTGAGGAAAAAGAAATTTCTCAAGCAGCACAGTCTTTGCCTATACTTCAGGATATAGACATGAATATAGCTATAAAACAACAGATTATTTTTGAACTATAGTTTTCTACAGGAGCAATGAAAGGTGATCAGTTACTGTGCTTGTTAACAGAAGCTGCAAGCTGTGATCCAGAGGATTAACGTGGCTGTGCGCATATTCTCCACACATCAGCGAGGGAACATTAACACATCGAATGCAAGAAGGTAAAAAATAATATTTGAATCGCTTAAACCTGATATAGATTAGCCTTAGTATGTACTTTTTGACTGACAATTCAGAACAAAAAATGTTTTTGGAAGTAATATGAAACTATCATGTTTCTCATCAGAATGGGCTTTAGCATTTTAGTTACACTGATCTAGCTCATACTGGTGTCTGTTGAGTTCTAATTAGTTCTAACAGTTTGAGTTGAGTTCTAACAGTTTCTAAGGGAGTAATTTTGTTTATTGGACTTAAGATTTAATTCTTGGAATGCAGTAAAGATGTAGTCGTCTCTGTTCTACATGCTGGTTTTAATCAGAATCAGACCTTGATTAAATGTTTAAACTGGAGAACTAAACCAATTGATCTTTTCAAAGTTCAGCTCCAGAAAACATCTTTGTCTTAAATGAGTTTTCCTCTCAGATGTAAATGACTTGTCTGAGCATGACTGTCATGTGTTTTTTTCTGTGTTTTATTAGGTTTAGGAGGGTTTGACAGTAAGAGGCAGATGTGTTGGAGACTATGGCTTAACTGTGTAAAATGTTTAATGGAAATCTAATTGAAATAAAAAACAACATGGCCTAGCTTATGGTCATATTAAAGCTGAATGTTCTAAGTAAAAGTGACCCTGGGTGTCTACCACTACCTGGCTTTCTTTAAAAGTATTATTTCAAGGATGGGTTTTCCTCCTCAGTTGGCACCAGTAGATGTATTATCTATTAGAGGTACATTGACTCACCAGCATTCTTCCAACAGTGGAGAAAGTGTATAAATTCAGAAAGAAAGGAAAATCCTTCTTTCACTCATGGTTAAGTGTCTTATACTATGGGTCTATGGTTAATTATGTATTACAGAGTTTTTCCTTATGCCTTAAGTCCATTAACCCCACACTTGTGCTCTTGAATGTAGTACAGTTAAGCCACGAATAGTTATATAATATTAATTTAGTGCTTCTTTTACACATACCAGTTGTTTTACATAATTTTGGCATCTTAAATTTGAGTTGAAGCCCTAGTTCACAGAATTAATCAGCCTTGTGAAGTTGCTTATTGTTTGAATGATTACAACAATTAAGATCTGCTATAGAATTCAAATGAAAATCAAAAAAAGACCTTGCTAGTTCTTGTAAAAGACAAATCATTAAGACATCACCTTTGTGCTTTATTGTATGTACTATTTGAATAGTTCCTGTTGCAACAGTGTTTGAATGTTAAAAGCACCCAAATGTACTTTTACAATTTAGCTTAGGCAAACAAAGAAAGACATCTACACTCTACACATTCAAGACATCTTATAATTGTCTACACAGATGTCTCATTACTAATTTACAATTACAGTAAGATTGAGCTGTTTGTAGTTTTTACAAAGTAACATTTAGTCCTTCTCTGAAAATTGATTTAGCATTGTTTAGGGGAATTTCAATCTAATCTGAAATCTAGTTAAATTAATCAAATGAAATTAAATTAAGCATTAGTCAGAATGTTGCGCATTTTGACATCTGTTTCAGATTTTATTTACTAGTGTTCAATTAGTCTGTTAGTTTGCTCTTTGTCTTAGAATTTCATTTGTCTAGAAAGTTTTATGGTTATATAGATACTCCTGACAGATTAGTGCTTAGGGCAGATAAACTTAGTACTCAGGCTGACCTGGCAGTTGTCCAGGTCTCTCTCTTCTGATTTTCCCCGTCAGAATACGCTATTGCCTAGTGTTTTGATTAAACATATATCTATACTCAGTATTTTCCAAATTCAACAGAAACACAGTAATATTTCAGTGAACACAAATATCAACATTTTTGAATTTTAGTATAAAACTTCAACTAAACTAAACAGTCTAATTTGATTTAGTTTAATTTAGTTTTTTATGTCATGTTGTCAGATTTAGTAGGCCTACAATTGTCTTGCTTTTGCTAAGAGCTACATGCCACAGCCTTTGCATGTCTACTTTGAAAATGCCATGTGAAAGGTATTTAGTGCTGTAACCAATGTGATTACGTTGAGCCATGACCTTTTAAACTCTGCTGGTGTATGTACCAGGTTCCTGTAAACCAGATCATTCAATAAAGCATTACTCATGTTGACAGTTTGATAATTTGATGATTGTCCTTAAAAATAGTCTAAACATAATAAAATATAATAAATTAAGTGTTTTCTGTTTTTTAATGCTCATTCCAGATTTAATGCTTTCAGCACATTCTGAAAAAGCTGGGACAGGAGCATGTTTACCACTGTGTTACATCACTTCCTTTTAACAACACTTAATACCAATTGGTCCAGTTTTTATAGCAGAAT